GTAACAACCATCTGGTGTCAGCATGTCTAACAGACTGTGACCTGGGGCAGATCTCTATGTTCCCTCAATTCTTATCTATAGCTAATAACTGTTTTCTGTAACTATGGCCTTCAGATATTGATTGATGAGCTTTGAATGTATACTGTATACCCCTGCCCATACCGATACCAATAGAAGCTGTTTCAGAGGAGGGCTTGGGGCATTCTCCACTAGAGGGAATTGCCACCCCATTTCCCACCGGAACAGCAGGTTGTATCCAGGACAACTCATTTTCATCCAAGACTGGGAGGACTCTGAAGAATGAAGTTCCCCACAACTCAATCTACAGGAAGCCTATGAAACCTACCTAACTTCACCCGGCATACCACTCTTAAGCTGCCTCTTGCATTTCCAATAGGTTTGCACCCTTTCGCTGCGTGCAACTCCCCACGTGGCCCTGCATGGCAGCTTCTCATCCACTGACAGAGCTGCAAGTAACAAACAGTTCTGCCTTTTATCTCTGTGGGGGCAATTTATGTCCCACCATTATCAGAAACTAATGACTGTTAAATACAGTCCTTGCCTTATAATTTATATGAGGAAGACAGATAATACACGTGATTTGCTCTAAAACCCAACATAAGTTGGGTTTTTCTCCCTCCCACATTTTTTAACCAGTGAGAAACATTTCTTCAAAATAAAAGGTAAGAGACCTTCATAGTTCCATGGGGAACAGAAGGAGGAAAAAAATCTTGACCTTTAAATTCACTATTTAGAAAAATACTGATTAGATAGAAACGATTCTTTACAATACTCATCCTTCCCCACCAATCCCACATTCCAATCTATAAAATTCCTCACACTTGGGAAGGAAGAACTAGGAGAAAGGAGAAAATGGCAGATTCTGGTGTCCATGAATAGAATTTCATTCTATTTATAGAAATATTATTTTGTTCCGCATTCTCCCTCAATTCAAGTTTAGAAATGCAAACAATTACCCTCTTGAACCTAGAGAAGAAGCCTCACAGAATTTTATGTGACATTGGATTGAATGTAACAGGGTGGATGTGGCAGCATGGGGAGCCTCCGATAGCAGGACCAAGTCTCACAGTAGTGTGAGCAAGCAGATTTTAATACTTCTTCCAGAAAGACCCAAACTCCAAATTGCATATGGAACACAGTACAGTTGTTTACTGAAAAAAAAATGTGTGTAAGTGGGCCTGCACATTTCAAACCATGTTGTCCAGGTGTCATCTGTATAATCCAGCATAAGGAATAAAGTATTGATGTCGTGTGGTTTTATGTCCCAGTGATGTGACATTTTGCATGGCCTTGGACAAGCTTTTTTTAAACCTTTTTAATGTTTTACTTTCTTCATGTATGAAAAGAGAAAAATAATAGTAACATAAGTTTGTAGTGAACATTATTTGAGACAATGAGCATAAAGTTCTCAACAAAGGGCCAGACATATTGGGGGGGGGCTTCAATCACTGTCTGTTATTATTTTAATGTGATGGTTGTTGTAGTGGCTAGAAAGCTACCCAAATACAATAACTGTACACAGAGTAAAGGCAAGATGACTCAGTAAAGCCTTGTACTACTTGGAGAATGATTACATACGAAGGGGTTTAAAGTAACTGGAACAAAATATTAAGATTTTATCTTCAAGATATTATACGATAGCAATTGGTAGGCAGCTAATAGAATATGCTTTTAAAGGTTGGGATCTTTATTTTACTGTTTCTAATAGAAGTAGAAAACTTCGATCATGTTATTTTGTAGAGTACTCTACTTATCTTGGCAATAAAAGTAAGCAGAAACAGGTTTGCAAGATGGGTATTTTTCTTTTAAAAATCTATGGGTAACTTGTAAGAGCGGGTATTTCAATATTCACATGTCTCATGTGTACCATTTGGTTTACAGTCTCACGATTGCTATCTTGTGGTGAATTGTTCTGTTTATAGCTTTAAAATTGCTATCTAGGTGACAGTCTTCTGTTTCTAATCTTAAGATGGTTGTCTAGTGATTTTGTCCCCATGGTTTATCATGCAGCCTGATAATACTGTGGAGGGAAATACAATTAACTAACTATGCACCTGCTCAGTTTACAGTTTTATGAGTGTTACTTATAGTGTGATTGACATCTTGGGGCTTGTAATAAAATGACTTGAAAACAGAAATTCTGTATGAAATCCTGCAACATATAAATATGTCTAAATATTTTACGTGATATTTTCTCTCTCCTTCTCTCTCTATATGTATCTCTCTCAATCTCTCTCTCTCTCTCTATATATATATACACACACATGTATATATATAATGTTTACACACATGAGGTTGGTCTTGGAAATACATATATATACACACCACATATATGTATATATGCAGTATGTGTGTGTGTGTGTGTGTATATTTGTATATGTGTGTATACACACACACAAACACACACAAGATTGGTCCAAAAAAGGTCCAGCCATTATTATAATGAGACCAGTTTGTGCAGCATCAATGTATCCTGGCAGCCAAGGAGAATGGGCTGGAATGTGTATGCATGAACAATGATGACCACACTGTACTAGTCAGTGGAAGCAGTAGACCCTGTTGAGTGAACATGTGTACTGTGTGGCTGTGGAATTCAAAATGACTTAGAGAGTAGAACAATGAATCTGCATCAAATGTGTTAAGCTTGAACATTCCTCCATGGAAACTATTTTGATGATTCAGAAGGCCACAGTTATGGGCAACTGGAGATTGGCAGCTTCATCACTACAATGCATCTGCTAATGCATCATGTTTCATGCAGAGTTTTTTGACAAAACATCAAATCACCTAGGTAACTCAGTCCCTACAGCCCAGATTTGGTGCCTTGCAACTTTTGGCTTTTCCCAAAACTAAAATTGCCTTCAAAAAGAAAGAGATTTCAGACCTTCAGTGAGATTCAGGAAAATACAATGGGGGAGCTGATGGCCATTGGGAGAACTATGTGAGGCCCCAGGGTACCTACTTTGAAGGGGACTGAAACATCACTGTCCTGTGTACAATTTTTCTTGTATCTTGTTTCTTCTTAAAAAAATGTCCCTATTTTTCATATTACATGGCTAGATATCTTCTGGGAAGACTATGTATATATAATCTTCCCCAAAGGCTTAAAAAGTTAAATAATTGTGAATTCAGGAATCCAAAAGTGCAAAGAAAAAGAAAATAGTATGTCTGAATGTTCACATTCATTTTCATTTTTAACATTCTATTCTATTGTATACTTCCCGTCCTTATCATACCCCCCCCTTACCATCATTATTTTCATTGAAGTATTGATATTGGTTCAGGATCAGATTCTATGCTGTATTTCAGAAGTTGTTTCCTGTGGGTATCTATCATGTAATAAACCCTAGAAAATTTATTAACTTATTTATAAGTTAAGTGCTTCATGTGAGGTTTGGCTTCTGTTATGATTAATGTATGTAAGACATTGCTAGAGATAGCATCGTTATATGCCATAGACTCTGATATATGTAGGGGACAAGTGGCACCTTTACAAAACAGATTTATAAGACCCTGAGAATGGAACACAACTGGTAGACTCTATACATAATTACTTAAAAAAATAATTTACTTGTGATCATATCACATTTTTTTCCTCTTGAATGAAATAAACCTGATTCTCCATCAGAAATTAGTTGCTTTTGGATAGTTTGAGGAGGAAAAGTTTTGAGTTGTATCAGAAGAACATTTGTCAAGGTTCCAATGAAGACCACTGGTAGTCTTAAACTAAGTCAGTGTGTTAGCACTAATGTGTTCCTATCAGAATAATATTCCTTTGTAGCAGAAGGAGAAAGACAAGTGTTAAGCAGTGAGAGAAAGAAAGATGTTTCTTCATCGGAAGATGAAGCTTTGCGGATACCATCACTGTGTAATGGTCACATGACTCTAGATTTGTCTTTCCTTATCTGGATGATTAGGACCACTCCAATATGCAGAATAAGTTCATACACAGTAAAGCAGTATGCAATTAGTAAGTACTACAACTGCTATGAACTAACATGGTGCTACTGGAAATGTCACCTATACCTTAAAGCATTAGAAACATGAGTTGTTTCTTCCTCTTCCTCAGACTATTGATGACTTCAAATACATAGTGTTTTGAGATATATCACCATGAACACTATGGAATAACTATTATCTTAAATACATGGGTCTAAATACCCATGGGAGAGAATGTGCACATGTCCATGCAAATGGCAGGAGGTGCCATCAACAGGATCTTTAAAGACCCACAGAAGAACAGATTTAAGAGGACTTACTGCAATATATTGCTGAAAAATATTTCCTGACCAGACTCAGTTGACATGATGTATAATCAAACAACCATTGTAGTTTCAAACAGTAATGGAATCTTGAATGAGCAATTATTGAAACCTCAAAGTTCTTGCAATTTGGGAGCACAAAGGAGTGAAAAACAATACTTTAGACAGGGTAACCAGAATCAGAAGGTGCTGAGAGATCTTACTTTTGGCATTAATATCTCTGAAATCACTCTCGCACATTTCTAATGGCCAGTCTCAAGTCAACAGTCACCTCAAGCATGCTACTAACAACAGATATTCTTTATAACAAAAGATTTGTCAGAACCATTTTTGTAGACTACAATGAGGGCATAAAAAATTTAAATGATAATGGTTTTTGTATACAACTTATACAATATATATATTTTATATTTCCAAAGAAACAAACCAACCACAGTTAATTAAGCATAGTTTGTGCAGCAAGTAAGTTTGTAACATCAATAGGCATATGTGCTCCATGGAGAAACATGGAATGGATCACATTTCAAACAACCAAAGGGTTCCTAGGAATAATTACTGAGATTCATAAATAGGAAAAAAATAATCTCATTACACATCATCAGATTATTAAATTAAGAATAAATCTTCCTCTTCCCAGTTGGTTTTTCTTAGAAAAAAAATTTCTGACACAGAAGAGAAAATTTGTTTCATATTTTATTGAATTTCATTTATATTAAATTAAAAATATATTTCTGACAGATTCATGTAACAAAAAAGCAGAACAGTTTTCAAATTGTTCAGCTGGGATGATCAGTATGGAATGAGGCAAAGCAGGTCGCATTCTATAATTGCCTTGTACAGGTACAATTCTTTCCCAAGAGCCAAGAGAGGATCCTTGAGAACTAACTGAAAGGCCTAATTACAGAAATTTAAAATATTTTTGTCTCTCATTTTCAAATAATAACAGAAATAGAGGGAAGGAAAAAAGAACAGGGTGAAGGGTCAGAGGAGAAAAAAGAATAAGGGAAATTATACTAAAAATATACCTAACATTAAAAAAGTTAGTGTGTGTTAAGTGCATAATCCTTCATAGATAAAGTAGAAAAAAATCAAAGTAACATTACACAACACACAATTGTCATATCCTATTGTGTAAGCGAGTGCAGAGGTTGAACACGTCACAATAGTGCTGAACACAGAATCACAAGTAATGTCAAAATTATAACTTTCAACCAAAAAAAAATCACAAGCCAATTTCTTATATACAAATCAACTCTAAAGACAATTATGTTCCAAATAAAGATGTCCACAAAAGAAAATCAAAGCAACATTATTTACAAATGCAACTAGCCATGTCTTTTAACAAGCTATAAAAATACTATTCACATTTTCAAACATACAGTAGTATTTTTTGTTTGTTTATTTCAAAAGGCAGCTAACTTTGAACACTGGGATTTAAATGAAACACTGATGGCTTACCAGCTAGGTATTTTTGCACCTCTGTCCTTTGAAGAGTCTTCACAAGAGAGAGGATTTATTTTTTGTTTACAAGAACACAAAGAAATGAATACAAATATATAAAATACCTCAAGCCTCTGTCTTTTTGGTAGTCTCCCTTTATTACCTGAAATTTATCACCATCAACTATTTTGATGTGTGTATGAGATGAGTGTTTGAGAGAAGATTTAACATGACTTTTTTCGTTTTGTGCTATGAATTGTCTTACAGATTGGTCTCTTTTTTCATTTGATCTTGTTACAATCGTGCTCCAGAGAGAGATGAACAACTAGTCATACCGTGGGAAAATGCAGTTTCGACATGCAGCGATGCAAGTCCTGGTGCTCACGACATGAGATGTAGACACACCAGCCAGTGAGATGTGCATTCAAAGTTAGCTGCCCTTGCACAGCTGCTCAGTTTAGTAATCGACCCATTTAACAGCAGTACCAATTTATGCTACATATTTCAAAGTACCTTACTTTAAAAGAACAGCGTACATATCTACATTTAGAAAATAACTTTCGTAGTTGATTACTGGAGTAATCCTAAAAGGGTTCTTGGAGTGCTATGGTGTAGTCCCTTCACTCCCCCCTCCCAGCCCCTGAGAGATCCAGAAATATACAGGAAAATGACTTTCACGTTAGGGTAAAAGTATAATCCTTCATTAACTGAAATATCTGGAAACGACTTTCAAAACACAGGTGATGTCAATACATAGGAGGTATGGTTTGCGTTTATTTGAAAGGGCTGCAGGCTGGGCAAACATTTACACATCAGTGATAAAAATAGCAGTAAAGGCAAAGTGGTTTGGACAAATTAGACTATTGCCTACAGATATGAAACTTTGTTTTCTCATATTTGTGTACTTGTACAAATATAACCACGTCTCATAATATGGGTAAAACTCATTAGAGCCTTGAAAGAAAAATGTCCTCAAAGAGCAAAAGTAGAGAAAGAATGGCAATCTAGTAGACAACATGAGTTTTTATTACAACAAAATTGCACTCATTATTTATTTCTTAGATGGATGAATGAACCGATAAAGGATTACAGGTGGTTCTCAAAGCTGGATAGCCTTTACCTGTCTGACAATAAGACTCTTTATTTATGAAAAGAATACAGCAGCTATAAAATACTTGTGATCAGGAATAAAATAAGATAAATAAAGTAAATAAGTTAACGTGCTGGGAAAACTAACTTCTCAAGGAGATGGAAGGTTTTTATGAAATGATTAAGTCTAAGACCTACCAAGGGCACATGCCCGTATGTGAGTTTCAAGATGCATCACAGGGCTGACTCACCTGACATTCCCACAGAGAAGGATGTAGTAAAGGACTGATCCTCATGGAAAAACGTAATTTTAATATGTACTCTATGCAGTAATTCATTTGTGAAATAATTCAAATAATGTCCAAATTGCTAGGATCTTTTATGGAAAAGTCAGGCATTGGAGAGTAGAGGCTAAATCATTACTTCACAAAGCAGGGTGTGGGACCTCAGAGATCCACTATGGCTTAAATGAGGTATGGTGTCAGGAGAACCACTCCGAACTACAGAGGTGGAGAAGTGAAGACAATGGAGGTGGTTGTGCCCATGGACGTTTGTGCCAATGGATGCAAAAAAATAAGGATGTTATCTTCCTCTAAGGTCCAGAGAGAAATGAAATTTTCTGTGATTCCTAAAATAATCATAGAACACTGACTGTCAAAGAGTATTTTCCAGGGAAAGCATCTGAATACTCCCATAAAATTAGGACATAAAGTCTTTCCAGCTCATAACTAGAGAAGCACTGTCTTCTGCCCAAAATATCACCCGTCTGGGAAGAGGTGAGGCAGGGGTCTGCAAACGTGGCACATTCTACATTTTTGCACCTCTACGAAATCAGAGGGACTTGAACAGAGTGCCTAAAGTTTCCGCTATTTCATGGAGACCTTTCTGTTAATGAACAGAACTAAGCAGCCCATGTGGCATTAAAAGCCATCTATTCACACAAATGCAAGGTTTTCCTGGCCCAACCCTGCCCACAACAGCCCCATGCTTGCGACTGTTAGAGAGAACTACTCTCGCAAAGGCCTCTCTGGGACTGGAAAATTGTACGTATTCTCCCAAGAAGTGTAAAAGCTAGTCTCACTGTAATGGCAAGGTCTCCCCTGATCCTAGTATTTTAAAATTACAACCAGTCTATCTCTGTATAATGTTATTTGTTCTTAAGCAAATGGCATTTAGAAGACTCGAGTCTGCCTTTCTGGGTCTGCACGGGTTCAAGGCTGTCCTTCACAATCCGTGTACACAAAGCAGCACAGAAGAATTTTCTGTCCCTGTCATACAGAGAAGTGAAAGAATTTGTTTTTTTTTTAAACAACTAGCAGCTTATACACATGGATTTCTTATTTGCCTTATCAAAAATCATCAGTCTAATCACTAGAGTCAAAAATAATGGAGCTACAGCTGTTTGAAATGCTTGTTTTAGCAAGTACCTATGAGAATATGAACTAATCCCTTGGTTTGTTTTTGGAAACAGGAGGTATAGAAAAAGAAGGAAGGCTTAACAAATTAACTGTGTTTTGTTTACCGGATGGCACCACTCATTCTTTGTCTCTGCATAAGGTAATAGAACTTTTACATCTCCCTGACTTCGTTCTGAACACCTCTTAACTTAAAGTCCTAAATAACATGTTCACCTGTCAAACTCTTCAAGGTGGTGTTTGCAAAGCAAATTCTAAAAATTTCTTTTTGTATTTGATACATTTAAAAACAGTAAAGGAATAAGAATGTAAGGAATAAAAATTAATTGTAGTACATTAAAGCAAGTTTTTGTGAGTGGGACCAGCTCTTTAACTGTCTACTTTCAGCTAAACCTAACAAATAACAATTTTAAAGGGCAAACTTATTTTTTACTATGCAAAATCCATCCTACATGTTTATATCCCGCATTTTATTTTGTTACATTACATTTTGTGGTTAACTCTCTAGTTTAATTAATTTAATAATATTAAAATCATTTACTGTCTGATAACCTAACTAAATCTACATCTTACAGCGAGCGTTATCCTGGTTCTGCCCAGTTATATACATGCTGTCGTAATCACCATTTCTATTACCTTATGAACTACATACACTAGTTAAATAATCAACATTTATAGATGGGTGAATAATTCAAGTTTTGAAATAAAGGTTAGATAGCTCTAGAAAAAACTTGTATTTACATCCTTCCCTGTCTGACTTAAACAATATAATTTCTCTTTTCACTTTCAACACTTCAGAAAGCATGGTGATAGCCCCCCTAATGTCATCTAGCAGTAGAACCTCACAGTCCTCCAACAGGTCTGTCCTTGGCATTGGGAATATTCATGATCTTCATGTCATGTCCTGCCTTTAGAAGCTATGAACACACACATCCTAACACTTACAAGAATACTATCTCTTCTCTCAGCTATCGATATTGTCTTTCTTCCTGATCTACTAAGAAAAAAAAAAACACCTCATGTTTTTACTTTGTATCTTTTAATATAATTTAAGAATTGCATGTTTTACGTTATTTCAAGATTATTACTTGAGAAAGAACTCTCATCCTAAATTGTGCCACTAATGCTTGGGAAAAAAATTGCTGCTCAGCATTTGAGCACCTCTGCATGGCGCAGGGTGCTCTGCGGTTCTGGGTCTACCCTGGTTCAGAGGATGTCTCTTCTCACCTGCCTAAGAAATACTTCTTTACACAAACTTTTCATTATGCGTTTTTTTCCATATTTGAAAATACGATCCCCTAAGATAGGTAGAAACTACAAAATTTGGGGATTGAAAAAATATAGTCCATATAATTTTAATATTAATTTCTCTCTAATTTACTTAATTGATTCTGCATATTTGCACTGATACAGCTAGCCCCTGACACATGATAGTCCAATGAGCTTTTCAGGCTTTAATTGGCATTTTAAAATTTCGCTCCACTGGGTTGAATAATTTATTCTTCAGAACAAATGAAAATCTTTTTTTTCTCCTCATACACTCTGAAATATGCCTTCCTAGTGGGACAAGTAAGACACAAGAGAAACCCTAAAACAACTGAAATGAAGTATGTACTACAATAACCACTCAAAAGGAAAAATGCAGTGGAGCGCTCGTGAAAAATGTTGGGAGCTTCGGGCTTACACTCGCCTCCATCTCCAGTTATTAGAGGACGATCACCCAACGTGCAAGGGTCTCTGGCTCTTAGGATGAAGGAGATTATATTCACTGAATACATTTCTACTCCCTCAACAGTAAACATGTTAGTTTTCTTTCCTTCTTCAAAATAAGTGATTGTGCTCTCCATTTCTCAATAAAAAACATTTGAATATTGTAAATCAGAAGAAAAAAAATCAAGTTCCAGTATTCAGCAAGGGTGCAATCTGTGCCGAGTTGGTACAGACTTATCCAGAAGAAGAGGCTTGTATCTAAATTGTCATCAGTACTGATGTGAGGTCCCCTTTGTCTTGGAGACCCCTCGGAATAGGTGAGAGAGGTTAGGCTGTGGCCCCTGAATTGTTCTCAGGAAATTTAGGTTGAACTTTGCTAGAAAGGATCTCACAAACACCCTCCTTGCTTCTTCCCACTGTTTTAGCCTACTCCACTTCCCATAGCTCAGGACAAAAGCAATCCCAAAGCCTCCAATGTTCTTGGCCAAAGACCAACATAAACTGCCGATTTAATGGTCAAGTTAGAATTCAGAGAGGCCATAAGCCAGTGATGCAGTACCCTTCTAGACATATTTGTGCTTAGATGATAACTTTGAAACCCTCTTACTTGTCAACTTCAGTAACTTGCAGGATCTTCCATTCATGTCCCAAATGAGTTCACTGGAGATCTCTTAATGAACAGCTAATTTTATGATGATTACTCACAAAAAGTTCATGCAATCTTATTCTTTGAACTTATGAAGAAATTCAAGAGTCATTCCAAATAAATCTAGACTAAACTTTTTAAGTTAGGGATAACATTACATTTATCTGGGTAGTCCCCACATAACACAGTGCTTTTAGTAGACTCTAAATAAATAGCAGTTGAAAAAAATAAGTTGAAGATTTGGATGAATTTACTTTTTCAAACTAAGTATAGATTTCTTTGCATTTTCCCCCTCTAAACTGTTTTGTCATTCTAGATTTTTTGTCTAATGGTTTTCTTTTATGTGATAGACTCAAATTTGATTCCATTATGTTAATGCTAGAAAAAATATGTTTTAAAAATCCAAATGACTCAGGGAAGGTTTTTCTAGAAAAGAGAGACTTATTTATATTTTCCTAATTACCGACCTGAGGTTCCCTTTTCCTGGAGACATTCCCACCATTTGTTCCCATTGCTCATATTAACTCAGCAGGTATTAACTTAAAACAATACTTAATAAAGATGGTTGTAGAACTAGGATGCTGTGTTTGAAGAAAAAGAGTTATTATCTAAAGTATCAAAAGATTATCAGTATGTTGGATATTAAAATAATTACATGAGAGGATTTTCATGTTTATTTACAACTTTTGATCCAAGGACCTATCTGTAAGTTCTGAATGGTTAGTTCTTTTTATTTTACCAATCTGTGCAAAGAAATACCTTCCCCTTAACATTAATAGAGTCTCATACTAGAAATTACAAGGAATTCAAGCCAATCCTTACTTGCATTCCTTAATATGCAGTATACAAACTGGACAACCTCCCTGGTGTAGCAAATCTGATATCACATGTACATAATGTGCTGGCCCTCTCACCATAATCCCTAGATACTGTTCCAAAGTCCTAATTTGCTTGGTTTGGTATTTCCACAGTCCTTCTTTATCTTAGCACTTTTTTTAAAAAAAATGTACTTAAATTAGTTATTTTGCTGGTTGCTTCCATATTGCTTCATTCAAAATCCAAAATGGAGTCTAGAAAGAGAGCAAATAAAATTATAGTTTAAGTGCAAACCACATTTCTGAGTATCTTCCAGGTAGACATACCCAATCCAGTGTGTTTCTTCCAGTTCAATGGGTTGATTTCCCATTGGGTCACCCCTGAAAATGTCAGTAGTTTTCATGAACCACACAAAACTGTCTCTTAATTTTCCTTCTATCTTAACATTACCAACTACCTATTAAGTACTGCCAGTTATGGAGGAGAAGAAAACATTGAAGGATGTAAAGGAAGGGGGGCAGTGCATGTAAAATAGTGTAAAACATAAATGTTAGATTTGATGCTACATTTGACTAAAATCTTGGCTTCCCTTTCTCAATTTAAGACTGTATTTTAAAATAGTGGTCATTTCACTATAACATCTTCCTTTTTCAAATTCTGTCAATGTATAGCAACACATAAGAAGCTTTCGATGTAAAAATTCTTTGCCATTTAAAATTAGAGACAAAACTAGGAGAAAACATAATGAAGGAATAAACCAAAAGGGGAAAGAAAGGAGGACAGAAAGGAAGACAGAGAGAGAGGGAAATCAAGAAAGGCCTCCAAGCATAGTAGTTATAACTTTGAAGTAGATTCAAAAATTATGAAAGCTGAGTTAGCTATTCTTCACTTGTTGGGACAGAAATTATTGGAGAAAGAAATTGGATTCTCAATCTCAGTTACTATCATGTTATAGAAAAAGTTATCTTTGTATTTATTCTAATGGAAAGCTTAGTAGGACTTCCAGGGATGCTGAAAATATACAGTTCCTGTAGATAGGAACAGATAGCATGGGTGTTTCAAGATTCTGCATTAAAAAATAAATAAAGTAGAAAGAAATTTAAAAAAGGAAAAAGTTAAGAACTGGTTAGACATCAGGCATTATTGCCTCCTATTTGCTGGTCCTTCTCTAGCTGTTCCTGTCTCCTGGCCGACACTTGTAGAGAAATGAAGAAACAGTGTAGTTTTTCCTGTCTTTCTCTTTCAGTCTTTCCTTCTAATGTTCAAGTTAGATAAACTCATAACTATCATTGCATCTCCATGTCTTCCCCTGGGAAGTTTCAACACTACTGGCCTTGGGAATAGAAGGAAGACCATAAGAGAAAGAGAGGTGGCAGGGAAATTGGAGCGGGCATGTCTTTCCACCTTAAAACCACTGTTGAGTTTACACCACAGTATTTCGGTGTCTGTAGGGTGGAGGAGGCAGCACAGTGCCTGGCTTCAGCGAGAACTCAGAGAGGTATTCGGGATTCTCTGCCACAATAGGCCGGATCCGTCCATTTTGTTTATAAAAATATTTTGTGCTGTACTCCTGCAGGTAGTCTGGGTGCTGAAGAGTGCTCCGAGGCGGCAGGCTGTGGTTCCAGTAGTCAGGGTTGTCGAACGCTTTCTTGGCCTTCTCTGGCACAGACAGTACGTTGTTCTTCAGGTACTCGGTGTTCCCCAAGGCGTTGGCAAAAGTGTTGAGGTACAGTGGCTCATTCACATACTCATCCTCTGCCTTGGGTGGACCGGTGGAAGCATTGTGATATTCGGGATTATCCAAAGCTTGAAGGTCTCCATTTTTTCTCCGAGAAACAAAAGGGTTCTCTTCTACAGGGTTCAAATATTCTGATGAAATGTAAAAATATCAGTTAACATCTATTTTCTGGAAAATATTCATTAAAGCAAACTTATACAGAATGATTGGCTTACTTGTTCAGCACAATAAAGCCATACATTATCACAAAAACTATTTTGTTGGTTATTGCTGTCATTAAAAAAGGAGCAAGTAGGTCAAAAATGATAAGGACAAAGCAAGCGTCTAACAGGGATGGTATCTTGTTCTTTGTCCTTCTTAATTGCATTTGTCTCTCCTATATATGGGGCCAGTTATTCAAATGTTTCTATTTTCTAAAAGTCAATAACTTATTTTGGAAGATAAGATAACTTATCAGGATTAAATTCCCTTTAAAGGTGAAGAAATAAGAGTTTTTTAAAGGATATTGGGAAAAAATCAAAATGTCCATAGCTTATTCCAATCCAAGATAAATAGATGAAGTAAAAAAATAGCACTTTTAGTCTGTATGGTTTTCTCTGGTGTCTGTATAAGTAACCCGGATTTAATTATAAATATTCCCCCTTTACACATAGAAAAGGAAATGTCTAAGAAAAATAAATAAAAACTTAACTCAAATAACAAATCTGGTAGGCATCTAACATGCTTCTAAAGTGACTTTCTTGACTATCGCTCCATCCTTGTACCAATCCTGTGCAAAAGGAAGTGCAAGCTGTATTCTTCCAGCTTTATAGACAGAAAACTGGGATTAAATAATAATGTAGGAAGGATACAGCTAGCAGTGACATAGAATTCAGATATTGTAACTCCTACAGAGAGATCATCTCCTTCTACTGCACTATTTTCATTACTGCCCCTACAGGAGGAGGGTGACCTCAGCCCTTAATAGAATGCTTTAATTCAAAAGGGGCTCAAAGCCACTATCATTTTAAGAAAAACATATGAATAAACTTTTTAAGGAAATCAGAAATCATTTTTTTCTTACAAGATCCTGAACTTCTTAATTGAAAGTATAGAAATGTTTATACTAAAGTGCTCTACTCTCTGAGAACTAAGCTAGAACAGAACATTCTTCTACAGAAACGTGGTCTCTTACAACTCAGATGCAAACTGTGGTAATGCTCTACAGTGAGTCCACAAGGCTGACTTGCCTTTCTCTTTGAAGATTTATGTACCTTTTCTCAATGGAATCTACTTATTATCTTAATTCAGACTTGTGTACCCATGCAGTTATACATAGAGTAGTAACTCCATGGTTGAGTTGAGACTCCTCCCATTGAATATTCCACTGTCAGGGGGATCTGCCGACTCTTCTGAAAGCCTATATTTGTGTCATTACTATACAAAAACATCATATATTATAACATAAACATCAGGTAAAAGGAATATGTCTATATAGCTAGATGTATTTATTATAATAGGCTATTTACAATATGTATTTAAGGAACCATAAATTGCAGTTTATAAATGTGAATATAACCATCTATTACAGGACATAATGGGCCCTCACACAGAGTCTTAAAATATAGTTTACTATTGACACTGAAGATGCTGAGACATGGTCAGCTTTTAATAACATCCACCCTCTTTTTATGATGCCATTAATGTAGAAGGAAAGGGACTTTTAAAATGGAAATGTTACTTGACTTGGATGTTTAACATCTCTACCACTGTCATCCATTGGTGGTACATTCCAATACCCTCAGTGGATGCCTGAAAGTGTGGGTAGTAGGGAACCCTGTATACACAGTTTTTTTTTTCCTGTATGTACATAACTCTTCACTTGAACAAAGCATTTCATGGCTTTCCCTTGACATCCAATTTGCCAACATCACTACTCTTGTACTTTGCAGAAATAACTAAGTAGATTAAGGATCTTGACTTGAACACAAGCACTGTGAGACAGTGACAGTTAATCTGACAACCTAGATGGCCACTAAGTAACTAAGGAGCAGAGAGTGTATATGGCATGGATATGCACCCTGGGTGGGAGAGAGCAGGGTGGGGTGAGATTTTATCACACAGCTCAGAAGGGCATATACTTTAAAACCTATGCATTCTTTGTTTCTGAAATTTTTCATTTAATATTTTCAGAGCTTGGGTAATTAAAACCATGGAAAGCAAAACAGTGGGTAAGAGGGAGCAACTGCAATGCTATTGCTATGCTTTGTAAAACCACGAACTATGAATATTTTCCAGATGTGACGGTATGCATATAAGTGTATACAGGGTTAGAACTTTAATTTTTGAAATGTGTCATAGAATAAATCATAATTTCCTCTAATAAACAAGGTTATTTAAATGACACCATTTTAATGAGTCAACCAAATATTTTATTGGTGCAATTCAAAGCTTTAGACACTTTTTGCCAACATACCAGTCTTTACAACCTCTACAATAAGTCTGATAAAACAATGGTTCTGACATCTTGTGATATGCTTCCTCATTTAAATATTTCAATAAAGATATCTTTAGGTTAGTGCTTTTCAGACTTAATCATATTTAAAAAATACCTGGGGATCTTGTTAAAATTCAGGTTACTACCCAGGTGGGGCCTGAGATTTCTGATTTCTAAAAAAAAACCAAAACCCATAATTGCTGTGGTTGCTGCTGATTCAGACAGTACAGCATGAATGGCAGCAGCCAAGGTCTTTTCTAGGTCACAGATGGTACATTGTCCAGTGGCCGGAGAATATCCCTTCTATACTTTGCTTATTTTGATGGATGTGAATGTAGGATGGCAATCATTTCTGAACATGCTGCGTGTACCTTGTTTGGGTTTGTCTCGCATGGGGGTCATGTAACCTTCTTCATCCAGTTCTCCTCGTGGGCTCCGCTCCGAGGCAAACACTGTGGGGTCAGCACTGTACCTCTGGGTGCTGCTGTCCTCTTGGACATGGGGTGCCACTGGCTTGCGTAGGGTGCCATTGCAACAGGCATCATCGAAAATTTCAGCAGTGGCCCCCTGAGCAACAGGAGCTTCTGGGATGGTGCTGGTCGGCGCTCTGTAGGGCGCGGGCACGCCCTGTTCTGCGGCGAAACCCCCATCTCGGTACACAAACTGGTTCTGTCGATAGTAGAGACACATTTGGACAAAAGTCATTGTTAGGAATGGTTGTAAAAATGAATGTTAAAAACCAAAAAGATATGAAAGCATCTCTTTCAGAAAAAAAGTCATATTTTTTTTTAGCTTATTTTCCTAATGGCTCATAGGTTTGAGTTACAGACTAACACTTAAACTTTCCATTTTTCTTAAAAATTAAATCATGGATAAGCAATTTGGAAATATATATTTTTAATTTTACTAAGCACCTACCACCTGATCTAATAGAACATAGTTCACATTTTCCCCACAATTGCCCATGTTTGATATAATATTTGAAATGAATTTTCATGACAAATAGCAACATCATTCATTATAGACAGTTGCCATTAAGAACAGAAGCACAGTGATGCCACTTGAGTGGTGCTATTTGTTGCATTCTGTTCTGTGGTTGCCACGACTTTGAGTCTCCGGGACTTGGAGAACCACCACTGAGATGCTGACGTTTTAGCATATGACCTATAATCATGGAAGTAAAGATAACTGGTTTTCTCACCTAGAAGCATAAGTTATGAGCCCAGGTAAAATCAATAGCTACTGTTGATGCATGAAATCTCAATTTTAGTTTATCTACTGAAGTAAAATATGTCTACAAAGACAGCTACACAATCTACAGCGAATTCTTAACTCACTGTTGGCAAAGGCAAAATGAGGACATAATGGGGAGACACGAGAGAGGAAACACGGTGAGCAAAGACCGAAGTCCTAAAAGAGGAAGACTGGTTGTGAAGTACTTACTCCTGACATGGGGGTGTAGGCGGGAGGAGGGCTGTGTCCAATTTCACTCTAATAGGAAAGAAAAATGGAATGATGGATGTAATAAGAGGTATATGAATGGGGAAACAAGAAAGAAAAAGAAAAGCCACATGAGTTGTATGAACCAGAGAGAAAACCATGCACAACAGTGAAGTTTGCTAAATGGTAAAATTGTTTGCACTCTGACGACAAGAGAGTTTATTTATGAATTTTCAGGAAATTGGATATTTTAATTCCTCCCTGAAAAGGAAAAGTATATAGAAAAGGATTATAGAAAATGGATTAAAAATTAGGTTGACAATGAATATTTCTCTGATTAACCCTAGAAGAAAGGGGAAAACAATAAACAGTAAACTGTAATTGCAGACAAGGAACAGTTTTCTTTGTTTCTATGTTGATGTTAAATGACTGGAATGGCCACATGCCACAGCACCAACTTTTCTCTTATAAAAAGACCTTATCTCGAAGGAGATAGAAGCGGATTTCAATTTGCCTGGAATAAATTTTTTTCTATCAAGTTACATTTATTTTTCACCATTTCAGCAAAGGGTCAACTTGTTAGCCTCTCCTTATAAAAAGGTACACATTCTTTCCTTTTTAGTTTCATTTCTTTTTTTAAGTTAAGAAACAGGAGGAAACTTGGAAAATCAATTTCTTTCCTGGAAACATGCTTTACATACATTAGTTCCATTTATTTAGAATCAGTTAAAATCAGATTTCTGTCAAAAAAACACAAAAGCTATATTCTTACAGCTTAATATTCTATGCAGCCTATGGCCTTAGTAAAAGTAGGTATAAAAATATGACAAAACATTAAAGATACTGTTCCTTCAGGTAAGTATACAGGATTGTATAAACAGCAACTTTGTTTTTAAATAAAAATACATATATAAATTTATTCATTAAATGCATTTTTTGAGAACCTACTGTCTATGTGTCAGGCACTTTTTTAGGTACTACAGATAACAGGAAAATAAAAACAGCCCATTTCATCAAGCTTGTATTCTCTACATTCTGTCTCTGAGTGAACAGAGATAACTACAATAAACCTCAGAGACAAAGTCATATATAGGTAAATATTATTCCAGGTCAATGGTTTTACACTTTAGAGATTCATAAAACAATCTAAGAAGAATATGATCTCATGGTGTTGAACTTTCTAATATACATTGGTCACAACCAGATATTACTTAGTCTATTGGACTAATCAAGGGATAGGTTTCAGACCTCTGAGATCTGAACATTTTAATTTTCCCCATAAATGAGTCACTTATATGATGGCATAGAAAATACTTATCTCTTTCCTTCTCCAATAACATAAGTTGACAACACATTGAACATTTTGACATGAAAAGTTAGAGATACAGTTAAAAAGCAATGATAGAAGGTGGTGTTGCACATTAAATAGATTGACTGTCTCATGATTTGCTAGAAGCTGTGAGCTCCAGTCCCGGTTATAAGCCATGTGGTCAGTCATGAAACATGTCAGGCCTTCATTCTCATTCTTGGTCTCTCTAGCTCATTCTTAGTGTAGGCAGAATAAGTTAGTGTTTATAAACAAACTTTGTAGGCTAGCGCAAATGTAGAGACTATATCAAATTTAAACCTTCACACCTGCTAAACTGGATTTTTAAAGTCAAGCAATTAAAATGCCACAGGTACTCATCAAGAAGCATTTTAAAATGCTTACTTATTCTCTGCATTACCTAAAATATAGATAATATTTTGTGATCTTTTAGAAAGATATGAAGTCAAATATATTGTTCATATATTTTGAGAAAGGAATTTTCTATATAGTTCAGTGTTACATAAAATAGGAGATGGTATAAGAAATAGGATAATTGACTGGTAGAACTTTATTATACTACAAACCTTTGACTGTATCACATTAAGCTCTCGTTATTTAGCAAACATTTAACAAACATGTAGTCATTCTCTACAATGAAAGCCCAGGAACTGTGGTAGATGCTGGAGATATCAGGATGCACTAAGAGAAACATAGTCACCAGCCTTTTGCAATTTACACTGTGCTGTCAAACATTACCTGAGATTGTTAGAAGAAAAGGCAAGCAGAGAATGAGGTTGGTGTGAATTTATTTCAATACAGTGATTACATATTAGGAGGTAAGGTATAATAAAATATTAGTAATTACTAGTATTCCTTTGACCTCTTAGCTGCAGGAGTCACTGTACTAAGTCATGTTTGACTAGAATCACAGCTCAAGGAAACAGCCTTGACTTCTGCACATTTTACATTTTAAAAAACTTGAGAAAGAAATGATCAAAGGAATAACTCACAAGTCATTCTTCACCAGGAAATGCTTTATTATCTATAATCATTATCTGGGCTGGACCGCCTTCAGTTATAAAGGTGTTGCATTAAAAATAACTAGAGCTCCAGCACTGAGTCTGTTCCAGGACAGGAAGTAAGGTCCTGCCACATTAGAATGCTTCCGCTGTCCCTGCTTTGACAAGTCTCTCTGTCAGCTGCCCGCCAACTCTGTCTGGATAGACTGCCAGATGCCATCACAGCAATAGGGGTGGTGTCATGCTTTTTCTAGTTTTAAATGCTTTTTCTAGCATTAAAGTAGAAAAAATGCTAAGCAAAGTCCCTTTAGCATTCATTGCTTTTTAAGGTTACTGGCTGCTTTTTATGGTTCTGTTTTCATTTTCTTTTCCATTTGTTTTTTTCTTTTTTTCTGTTTTCCATGATAAAAAGCACCTCATTCTTTCCCCCTGGAAGGGCAATGCTGCTACAAGGGAACATCTGTGAGGCCAATTAGCTGGGCTGGGAATGTGATATAATTGTTGTTTAAATATATTTAAATTACATGTTAATCGCTATGTCATAATTTATAGGCTTTGAAAATAACTTTTTGTACTTGAGAGCCAAGGCAGATTTTACTTGTTTTTGCTGTTTTTACTTTGCAACAAGCTCTTCCATTGCCTGCCACCCGCTCCCCACCCTCTGATTCCCCCCAACTCGAAGAGCTGAACTTTAATTTTGGGAAGAATGACAGCTGCAAGTAAATTGGTTGAGCAAAAATTAAGATCCCCACAGCCAGAGTGAGCTGGAGTGACCTTAATGTTCCAAGCAGAACAAAGCAGCACTCTCTGTTAAAAGGCTTTTGTTTTTTCCGTTGTGCCACTTTCTGCTGTCCATCAAAGGCCGGCTTTGCGGAGCTCCGGGAAGCAGCACCGGGTACATCTGTTCACTTAGCTGGTGAGGGGGTTTACTGGCAGCAGGATACAGATAGAGGGAGGAGGGTTATGAGCTGGCAGGTGATAGGGAGATTTTTTCCTGGTGGGGGGATTTGTAAGGGTGACGGAGAGAGTCAAGTTTAATTTTGTTGCCATGCCACTGGAACATTGTATGATTAACTTGGACTCAAATGCCAGAGGTTATAGAGAAGGCAAATGTCAGCAAATATATCAAATGCAGTGTTAAAAGAACTTTTACATACATCATGTCCTAAAATTGACTTTTCGCTTGAATAATAAAGATTTGAACCTTTGTCTTATGACATGCGCTGTTTGTCATATTTGTTGTTTTAGTTAAAATATTGTATTACTTAATATTGTTTCTGGGAAATTTTAAATTTCCAGATGAACTGCCTTATGATAGTTTTTAAAAATATCATACAGATCTATCTTCTTAAAATAATATCACAAGCTTAATGCCTGACTTCTATCTAAATTACATATGTTGTTAATGATTGACAGTTTTTCTAATCCTCAGATACTTGTCACTATCAATATTAACTATTGGATTGAAGTTTCTAGGGCCAAGAAATGCTCCAAATCCTTTTAACAGAAATGGAATCTATCTCTGTAAGATGTTGCCAATGTATCAGCGCTAATTTATTACCTAGACACTTCCACAGCATAACTATTAAGGGTTCTCAACCTTTTATCCTCCCTGACATATATTCTTAACACTCTGATCAGTATTTTTATATTTTCACAGGTCAGACAGCTGACAGACTAAATGTTTTCTGCATTAGGTATAATTCTTGATGCATCCAGATTTAGAATCTTCAATTTTCATAGGAAAACCAGAAGAAAATAAACAAAATGCGTTCATACACGAAACACCAGTAAGGAATGGGGTAAGCCTATTGAATCCAGGCAGCTGGCTTACATATGCACACCCAGATTATACACATACATTACACAAGATGTTTTTTGTCTATTTATTGATGTGTTTATTCATTAACATATTTATTTCTCTGTTTGGTCTGATTATGTGGAACACTGATTTTTAAAAGAAACTAGGTTTTTATACACACCAACAAAATAAGTAAATTAATATTAATGGTATAATAAATAAAATATATAATGATATCATATTGTAATAAACAGATAACAGTAATGCTATGATCCAGCTGAGTATTAACTTGGGCTCTTATTCTTTGTTCACTTTTCACTAACCCTAGTGTTGCTGTAGGTAGTTAGCTAGTTATTAATGAAGGAAGAAACTAAAGGGAATCAGACACTGTTGAGCCTAATGGTCCGAGGAGCATGAGCTGATGGCTTCACTATGAAGCTACAGCATAAATAGACTCATTCAACACTCCAGAGAACTGGTGCTCACGGGAGTCTCCTTGGAGCGGATAGGAAATCCCCCCAGGAGCACTGACCTCCCTCTAGTACCCAGTTGTAATCAGGGAGCCGGGGGAGGAAAGCACGTGCAATAGGAACCAAAATCATGACCATGGGTGCCTGTCAGTCTATCCTGAGAAAAGGATCAATTCGCCATCAGGTGGACCCATCAGAAGCCCCCAAATCTTGGGAAGCTGGTGGGTTATTCTGAAAAAGCTCCTGGTTCTTCCCAAGCTTAAGATAACATAGCACAGCTTAACAGCTTTCTCCTTTCCCCCAGAAACACACACTAGCTCCATTGTTCATGCATTTTCTCCACAGTAACCATGCACATCTTGCAGCCATGCAGCTGGCAGCTGTGCGGACTCCAAACTCAGGCTCCAGGTGGGAGCCTGGGTACAGCGGTGCAGCTGCAGTTCCAGGAACGG